TCATCTCAAATTTACTACTCATTATTTTTAAAAAATAATCACAAAGATTTTTATATGTAGATCTAAATCATATATCATCAACATATATTTAAACAATGATTATGTTATCTACTATCCTTTTCAAATAGAGATTAGTGTCCATACTTCCTTTCACAAATGATTTCTCAAATAGGAAAGTACTTAACCTCTCATACCAAACTGTAGGTGTCTGTTTCAATCCATTCAATGCCTTTTTTAATTTAAACACATGATTAGGGAATTTAAAATTTTCAAAACCTGGAGGTTGCTTAATATAAATATCCTCTTATATCACCTTATTAGAAAAGACACTCTTAACATCCATTTGATACAATTTAAGGTCTTTAAAATAGGCAAATGTTAACAAAACCTTAATTGCTTCAAGTCTATCTATAGGGGCTACAATTTTTTCAAAATTAATCCCTTCTATTTGATTATACCTCTTGGCCACCAATCTTGACTTATTTCTAATCAAAACTCATGAATCATTCATTTTATTTTTGAACACCCACTTAGTTCTAATAACACTTTGATTCTTAGGGCTTTCAATTAATTCTCAAACATCATTTCTAAAAAATTGATTTAATTCTTCAGACATGGCAAAAATTCAAAATTCATCCAAAAGTGCTTGATTTATATTAGTTAGTTCAACCATTGATATAAAGGCAGAATGGTTCACTTCTTTGCTAAGTCCATGCATAGTTCTAACATCCTCACTAAGTTGACCTAAAATTAATTCATTAGGGTGATTCTAAAAAAATCTTCATTCTCGAGGCAAAGGATTTTCTTTTCCAACATCTTCTTCAAAATTTATCTTCTAAATTCCTTGGGAGATATTTTTAATATGATCTTCTTCCAACATTTACTCTTCCAAAATGTTAGATTCATACATGTGCGATCTCCTTAACTACCAAAGTTCTTTTATTAAAAACTCTATAAGATTTTCTAATGCTATAATATCCAAGAAAAATTTCTTCATCTACTTTTGGATTAAATTATCCTAAAGAAGTTTGACCATTATTTTTAATGAACACCTTACATAAAAAAACATAAAAATGTCAAAGATTAGGTTTTCTACCCTTAAGAAGTTTATAGGGTGTCTTATTCAATTTTGATCTGATGTTCACCTTATTCAAAATATAATAAGTTGTACTAATGACTCCATCCCAAAAATATTTTGGAAGTGAGTATTCTGCCAACATGGCTCTAGTGGCCTCGATTAATATTTTGTTCTTTCTTTAAACTACCTCATTCTACTGCAGGGTCCTAGGTGCTAAAACATTGTAATCAATTCCTTTCACTTAATAAAAATCTTCAAATTTTTTATTTTCAAATTCTACTCCATGATCACTTTGAATTGAAAAAATTTCACACCCTAATATCCTATGAATTCAAGTAAAAAAGTTTCTAAATTCCCAAGTTTTATGATATAGATACTCTCTAGCGATTCCTGTGAAATTTAGGGCTTCTATTCGTGAGCTCGGGTTTTGATCTATTGGCAATTTTGACTGCTAATTTTTTTCTCATTTTTTCTCCTTAGACCTTTTTTGTCTCTTTCGTGACTTTTGTTTGACATTTTTTTCAGTGTTATTGTGCTCGAGATTTGACCAATCTATCATAATCTAGCCCTCATATTTCATCAATTCCTGATGGCCATTATAGGTCATTCAAGGAGGTTTTGTATGGTTCCTCTTCTTCTATGGCTAAACTTTATTTTGTGCAAACCTCCTTCAAGGGTTGCCCAGCTTTAATGTTTGATGAGTTAATGGTTTCTCAGTTTGCCACTCCTTTTATGCTTACTCTCATTAGAAAGTTTCTTCTTCGTCGATTGAATCTAGATGCTATCCAAAAATTTTTTGTTAACTTGAAACTCATGGGTTCTTTTCACGTTGGATTGCTGAATCCACGACATATAGGGATACAACTTACAAATGACCTTGACTTTAGCAGCATCTTTTCTAGGAGGTCATACTATATTCAAGCTTGTCAAATGTATCTCCTCAAATGGACACCAAACTTTGACGTTATGGAAGAATCACCAACTAAGGAGAATGATCAACCATGACAACTATCTTCTCATATGATATGTGCCATGTTGCTTACATGTTGATGAGCCTTAATTACCCTTCATGAGGGTGAACTTCTATTAATAGGTCTGCGCGAGGAACACCTAATAATTATTTAATCGTGCTCTCCTTTGTCCTAAATAAGTAGCTCTCACTAACCTTGAGGCAAGTTCTCTATCACAACCCGTCAACTTCATGATGTTTACTTATGATGACATATACAATATAAATTAAAATTTACCAAGAATCTAAACTAAGGATCAAATGCTAAACATCGTACATATTATGAAATACAAATTAATAAGTTAACTTTTCCATGGTTTCAATAATATAAAAAAAATCACTTATTTGGCCACTTAATATGTTTTTCATAAATGATAATATTATGCAAACTATTAATTACCAATGCCTAAACAATTTTTCAGTGGAACTATTTCTTACTAAAAAAAATGAATTTTTTTTAAATGATTTTCACCTACATAAAAACGACAATAAAAACTTTCATAATTTCAATCTATGCAGAAACATAAAGATAATAGATAGGTGAATTCAGTAATAATAGCTTTTTTTGGGAAAATTTGGGGCAAAGAATGTTTATTAAAATATACCAAAAATTATAGACTTACAAAAAAATTAGCTTGAAAAAAACGGCTAAAAACTAAAACACCAAACCCAAAAAAGATGAGAAGTCAATACACATAAAAAAAAGCTTCCAAGGAAAAATTATAGGTCTCAAGAAAATCAAAACCCGCCCAAGGACATAGAAAACTTCAGAGCAAGAATGCTCTGATGTCCAAAGCCAGCTAGGACGTCAAAACTATCTCCCCGATTGCCAACAAAACAGAGCACGAGTGGGAAGCAGGGTGCAACATAAAACTTGCTGGGCCAATTGACAAACCACAGGTGATCAAAATCTCCATTGGCCATCCAAGGGGAAAATAAGCATATAGGCGGTTCTGTACATCATCATCCAGTCAAACAAAAACTAGACCTCCAACCAACCAAATGAAACATGATGAAAACAAAGTATAGAGCAGATCAACATTTTTCTTTCCAGACATTTTTCGAGCAAAAGCCAAAGCTAATTTCAGTCACAAAACATGATCGGTAGAGTGAGAACCACAAATCTTCTATCATTCCCCTCCCTTTACAAAAAGTAAATAGCACCTCAAATCACAAAAAAATAGAATTCCTTCTCCGCCTTGTTATAGATACCCAACTAATCAATAAAATCAAACAACTGCAACAGAGTAGGTCTAAACAAGATAGTATCCAACACAAGTAAGAGATGAGAGATAACAACAAAAAAATAGTTGCATTGAAAGAACGGATGAGAGCTATTCTCCTCCTCCATGTGGCAAAGAGGGAAAATGGCATTAATAAAAATATTTATCCTAGCTAAAATATCAGCTAGTTTTAAACCACCTCAGACCAAAAGCTAAGTGTAAGAAGAAAATCTGAGGACAGCATGTTTATGCCAAATGAATTTGTACCAGCTCACTTCGGGCTTCCCAGCATAGAAATTAAGTCTAAAATCTTTAAAACAAGGGTTAGCTATATCCTTCCAAATAATAATAGCAATAGTATTATCAAAAACCGGAGTGGCAATAATAAGTTGCCGAATCCCAGCATGAATGAGATCCGACAAACACTAGGTGTTTTCCTAGAAATATGAAATGGACCAATGAATAACATGGGAGGGGGGTAAACTTTCAGCCAATGACTTTCCATTGATCCAAGGGTCCCAGAAAAATTAAAGATTGCTACAGTTCTCAGTAGTCACATTAAAATTAATGTGCCCTTTAATCTTAATTGCAATCCCATAAATACTCTTTCAAATTTTAGAGGATTTTGTAGATAAAGGTTTCCAGGGAGAGCTATATTTAAATTTAAACCATTAAAAAAATAGAGAACTCGAGTTGAAAAACCTCCAAATAAATGAGCAGGCAAACCCGTGAGAAAGGGATAGAAGGTCCGGAATCCCAAGACCCCGAAAAATAGTTGGTAGGCAAGTATTATGCCAAGCAATAAGATGTAATTTTTTCCCCTCGTTAGAACCATGATATAAAAAATCTTGAACACATTCTATCAATGAGTTTACAACAAGCCTTAGTTATAATAACTACCCTAATCCAGTAAGCAATTATGTTAGCAATGATAAACCACAAAAATTGAATACGACTTGCAAAAGAAAGAAATTTTAATTTCCAACTAGCAAGTAGAGTAGAAATTCTACTCAGTAGTGGTTGGAAGTGAGAGGAATTAAACTTTTTGATGGAGATGGGCAGCCCCAAATATTTGAAGGAATGCTCTGTGGGAGAGAATCCAAGAATGCTAGTGATATAATTTGCAACAGAAATATTCTTAGAGAATAGGATAGAGCATTTAGCATTGTTAATGTGAAGACCAGATGCCTTAGCAATGTCAGCAATAATAACAACCAATATATTATCTGTTCTACATTTCTTATCCAATGTTTGAGATATAGGGGAAAGAAGAAACTCGTCAGACGATATTTTTACAAGACCATTCAATTATTCCAAAGTCGAAACCCTCTCAGCACAAGAATCGGTAAGATACCTTTCAAAATCAACTGGTAAGATCCAGACGACTAGTTCATCTTGATATAAGCGTAATTGGGAAGATCAGCTCAAGCATAATACAAACCATCAAATCTTAAAAAATGGAGAAAATGTATCATCAGTAAAATGAATATTCAAAACCAGCTCATAAAAATATACAGAAAGAAGATTCAGTATCAGCACATAAAAATGCTTCTAACTAACAGAGATGATATAATCTGCTTTCCAGAAACCATGACTACTTTCCAGAAACCATGACCGCCATGCATTACATACATCATTTTACTCAAAAGTATTATAAGGAACTTACAGAATGAATGACGCAGACCAGAACTTGAGTACATGCCACTACAATTTTTATTATAAATGAAGAAGCCTGTGATAGAAATTGAGATAACAAAAGGTTCGCAGAATTATAGCAACCCAACAGTTCAGAAACAGAAAAAGAAATAAACCATCCATTTGAATATTTTCATTTAGGTGTTGACTGCACATATAGCTCATCCTCATCCTCATCCTCATCCTCATCTTCATCATCATCGTCATCACCTGCACCAACCCAGTTACTTGGATGATGCTGCGAAGAAGGATTTCCTTTGAGATCTCTTCTACCTGCAAAGACGAGAACGAATACCATTAGCCAATGTCTGTATAAAATGTTTATGCAAGATGCTAAAAAAAAGATTCATGCTAAATACACCATTAAGTTCAACCAAATTATGTGCTTTGGCCTGGTGTCTGTAGTGCAAAGTCAAGGAAATTTCTCACAGCATTTATACTAGCCTTCTCAATAGTTTAGCAGGTAGTTTGACAAGTTACAATAGGTGAACTCGTACCTCATAAACCTTGGCAATGTAGATTTTCCTAAAGGTCACTAACCCTCTTTGGCAAAATGGCCGGATAGGATTCATCTCTGAAGGAAACATCAAGGGTTCACATAGACCACTTAGATCAGAGCTCGCCCTCCAAGGAGAAGTATACCCTCAAGGCTACCTGTCGTCACCTCAACTACAAGGAAGGATCCAACTGAGTGGATTCAATCTCAACTCATCACAATTAACCGACCACATAGTTCATTACCCCTGCAAATTAAGCAAACTTGCCCTCCGCATTGAAGAGGTTTAAGGCCTCCATCGAAGGGGTCGTCAATGCCACCAAAGACTCATCAACAACAATCCTTCAATCTCAACCATCAACAAACTCGCCTCTATCTACACACTCGTAAATACTTTGCACTAAAGGACTCGCTCAAAGGCTAAGAACTTGAACCAGAATGATCCAACTATTCATACGGCCTATTAGACATCATAGTGACTAGAGCAGACCATAATATGAAATTTAGTATGGTACATCTTCTTTTTTCATACAATCTTTCACATAGCCAACAGAATCAAATAAACAAAAAATGAAAAGGCATTTTTTTAATCTTTTAGTACTATCTAAAGAGACTATTGAGCTAGTGATATACTTTCCCTTAGAACATCTTATTTTTCATATTCACCATAGGTTTTCGGGTCCTAGTTTTCTTAGATTTTCCTGCTAGTAAAGTAGGGTTTGTAGATCCAACATCCTGAAAGGTGCAATGTACGTGGATTGATGTCAATGTCTACAAGACGAGCACATCTAAATGAACATGCCAACCCTAAATATGAAACTGAAAAACCAGAATTACACAAGTCGCTTTGATCTTATGTAGAAATAGGAAACGTTGACAAAGATGATTCAAGATGCCTAGTAGGCCTACAAATGCATGCACTAAGAGAGAGCACCCCTAAAGGATCCTCTGACTTGATTGTTCACCATAGGAGGTCGTAAAGAAGAGTGTTCACTTCGATGCCCAATCTAAATCTCACTCGCACTATGACGAGTGATACAAATATAACCAACCACCTCAGCCCACAAGGGTAGAGCCTGAACTAACAAATGTTTTTTCCATAAACCATAGGAGAGGCCACATTAAAAATTCAAGATTCCTCTTCTAGATTCTTATAAGGAGCAAACTGACCCAGCAAACCATGAGGTTATTTTTAAGAAAAGTCACCATTATTGGACATCAATAATGCCTTAAAATGCCACTATTCTTTATGACTCTCAAATAGTTAGCAATCAGGAGATTCACTTAGCTACCTTTGAAAGTGATCATCTTTTTTCTCAGAGTTTAAGTGAATACTTGTAACCCAATTAGTGAGTGCCAAGTATCCATAAAAGAGCTCCTAAGCTCTCCACAAGATGCGACAAGAACATGTGGCAACTTTTGAGGCCAGGATGTCATTGTTGGACATCAATAATACTTCAAAATGCCATTATTCTTTGTGACTCTCAAAGAGTCAGAAACATTGGAGATTCACTCGCCTGTTTGTGGGAGTGATCACATTTTTTACTGGGTTCAAGAGAATATTTGTAACCCAATTTGTGGGTGCCTAGTAAACTCAAAGAGCTCATAAGCTTTACTCAAGATGTGACATGAACCTGGAAAGTCACTGAGAAGTTTCATTGTATGATTCCAAAAGTCAATAATTAAGCAGAAAGACTTAGAATCTACCATCACCCCAGCTACTTTGACACAAGGTTTAAGGCAATGTTCATGTTGTTATACACTTGGACTATAGTAACCAAGGATATTGGCTGAATTAATTGAAATCGTCAACAACGATGACAATATAAAAGAGTATAACAAAGTGGTTGAGTGTTTTTCATCTGCTCAACCACAAGAGCCTGCCAAAAAGAGATTGACAGTGAAGAAGGGAGCGATAAAGAAGTCTCCCAAGATATCAAAAGCATATATGAAACTAAAAATGGTGCGAGATCATAATAGTCCAAATCACCAAAGAGTGCCTTTGCAAGTTAATACCCTCAAGATCACTAGACCGCCGGTGTCGAGGTTCGAAAAGCATCCTCACGCCACTTGCCCCTACAAATAAGCTATATGCCATACGTCCAATCAATCTCCTGTGAGTATCAATGGTTGAGTAAGTAGATGCCATCTAAAACAATAAGTTCTTCAAGGGCCCAATGCTCATAAAGGAGAATGTGCACACCAAGGCACATTAAGGTACTACAGTTTCATCAAAGATCACAAATATGACAGAGTGCAACCAACTTCATGAACTAGTTGATAATTTCTAAAAAGTTAGAAAGTTAAAAGGAGTTCATACTCAATGACCCTAGTCAACACCCTAGGAAAGCCCCAATAGAGAGCAATGGGAATGAGAAAGTCCTAGCTCACGCCATTCATATAACCAGAGTGGTGCACTCTAACATGAATAGGGATCGAGTTGAGTCATCCTCAACAACCAAGAGGCTTTGAGTGGGAGAGGTCAACCTGCATCCACTTCGAGGAAACATAATGTCGAACAATGCCCTAGTCATCTTTTGAAAAGAACAAAGGCCTTCAGGATGGAAAACCTACAATGACATGGTGGTTGTCAATACCCTAGTCGCCAACAATCAAATCAATAATATATTGATTGATACATGGAGTTCTGTCAACATCATTTTAAAATCTAATTTTGATAAAATGAATCTACTCATCTTCTAGCAAACCCCCACTCCAAGCTCTCTATATGGTTTATGAGGAGAGTGCGAAGAAATAGAGCTACTCAACCTACCTGTCACATGGGGCAAAGGTGATTAGCAAGATACGACTACGACCATGGCAAACTTCTTCGTGGATGCCCCAACCACATACAATGCCATCTTTGGGAAGCATCAATTGAATAATTTCACATGATAGAAAAATTCTCAATTGACGATAAGAAGATCCTCTTGAGAGACGACCTCCGCAATCTCACACTTATTAAATGAGAACAATGGAGAAAGTGGAAACCTCAAGTAGTCTCACACTTTTTCTGAGACTGGAGACTACAAAGGTAATGAAGGTCTCAACCATAAAAGATAAGGCTAGAAGAACACTAAGGATAAGCACCACCTTTAGTTCGAAACATTGTGCAAACTCATACAAACCCTCAAGGCCAACCTCGATATCTTTGCATGGAAGGAAATCGAGATGCTTGGCATTCATCAAAAATCATCTGCCATAAACTCAATGTGAGAAGAGATGCCAAGCTCATTAAGTAGAAAATTAGGAAGATTATAGCTATGCCATCAAGCGAATTAAGAAAGAACTAAAGAAACTACTCACTGTTGACTTTATTAAAGAGATATATGGATTTTGAAGTAGTAATGGTGCAGAAGGAAACTAGAATATGAAGGATATTCTTCGACTTCCCCAATCTCAACTTGGATGACCAAAGGATGACTATCCACTCCACCTAATCGATTCACTAGTTGACTCAACGATCAAATTCTCTATGATGAGTTTCCTAAATACATTTTCTAGCTACTATCAAATAAAAAGGCATCTAGATGACTACAAGAAGTGTGCTTCATCATATGAGAAGGCCTATACTACTATAAAGTGATGTCATTTAGATTGAAAAATGTCGGAGCGACCTATCAAAGAATGATGGACTGCATTTTCAAAGAGCATAATGTCTAGAACGTTGAAGGGTATGTAGACTACCTATTCGTTAAAAGTTAGTTTCCTAAGCAACACATTAGAATTTGAAGGAGATGCAAGTCACATTATAAATGTATAATATGTGACTAAATCCACTAAAACATACTTTTGGGGCAGACTTGGCCAAGTTCATATGCTTCCTCATCACACTTGAAGGAATCAATGTTAACCCAAACAAGGTAAAAGAAATATTGGAGATGTCACCTATGGCTGTCAATTAAGTATGCCGACTCACTAGGAGAATTTCATTTCTTTTCCAGGCTAGGAGAAAAATGTTTGCCCTTCTTCAAAGAACTGAGGAAGGCTAAAAAGTTTGTATGTAGCAAGGAATGTGAGGAAACCTTTCCACAACTCAAGCTTCGCTCCCCGCCGCCTCTATTTCAAAGTCCAAGATAAGGCGAGGACTTATTGTTGTACCTGAGTGAGGAAGGACACAATCAGCTCAGTACTCATCAAGGAAGAAGAAAATAGACAATGACCAATCTATTATGTTAATAAGATTATAAGAGAAGCACATCAAAGATATCCCATTATGAAAAAAATTGTATGGACCCACGTAATCTCAGCTCGACAATTGAGGCCATACTTTTAAGCACGCTCGACCAAAGTTGTCATTGATCATCCACTCAAATTCATAAGTGCTAAGACAAATCACTTAGGTAGATTTTTGAAATGATTGGTAGAATCGAACGAGTTCCAGATCACCCACACACCATGAATGGCCATCTAAGCTCAAATGATAATAGATTTTCGGGCGAACTTTAACATTATGAGCAACGAGCAAGAAGCCTCAAAGATGCAGCAATAGCCCTAGACCTTATATGTGGACGGAGCATTAAGTAAGCAAGTTCTAGGGATAGACATAATTTTAAATAGCCAAACTGGAATAATAATCACAAAAGTTGCTAACAATTATTGCTAGGGACAAATAATAAAAAAGTGTATGGAGCATTAGTCTCCAGCCTATGATTCCCAGAAAAAATAAGACACCTCAGCTAGTAAAATATTCAAATTCACAATTGATGTTGAACCACATAAATGGGGAGTATGAAGTATGAAATGAAATGCAATTAAAGCACCTAATTAAGATGAAGGCGGAGATCAACAAACTCACCTTCTTCAAAATAACTTAGATATCTAGTAAATAGAATCAGCTCGCCAACCTGCTTTAAAAATGAGGGAATCAAAAAAGATGAATAGCTTTAAAATACTCAGTTATAACATGGAAAGAGAAGAAGTCATGTATGTGGATAACAATCATCTAGCAAGTAGGATTGATCCATCTTTAAATACTTGAAGATAAAAAATTAAAAAAACAAAGTAAAAAAGAAACGACAATTAAAAATAAAGTCAGAACAATTCACTTGCCAAGCTGTGAGTCAGGAAACTCGCTAGCCGTTGCGAGTACAAAGAAACCAAAATCAATACCACTAACTTAGGAGACTCACCCCTGGAATAAAATTGACTGAGGTAGGAGCCAGTAAATTCTTACCCAGGCTCAAGTTTAAGAGTGATTCAAG